AATATTGAAGAGTTTGGTAAGTTAATATTGTTTAGTATGACTTTCAGTTTAAGAAGACAGCCTCTGTTAAATAGGTCAGATATAGTGCGCATTGCAAATCACTTTTTTTAAGGTCAGCGATTTGCCAGCGGGCCTTTTACCGTCAACTTGTACTTACTTTGGTTGTATTTCTATTTTTATTAAGTTAATAAGAGAGACAGACCTGATAATGTTCTTTATTTACAACTGTTTTGCATTTTATGCGATTTTATAACTCTTTCGAATTCTTCTGTTCCTTTTGAAAATTTATCCCCAACCAATATAAAATCAAGTACGAAAGTCATTGTATTAATGGAAAATTATATAAGTATTTTCAGCACTTAATTGCTTTCTAAGTGATAAAAATATAGAGGTTTTTTTACCTCCAAAGTTTTATTTATAAAGAATTTTTATATAATAATGAAAAGTTTAAAGTTATATACAAGATTAACGAATACCTAAGTCTTAGCCTCTTCACATTTTCAAAAGCATGCATAGCCATTCAAATTTTTGGAACAGTTATTGATTCAATTTTTATTGACGTCCTTTTCCTTCAAAGTTCCGGCTTTGAAAGTACCCACAGTTTATTTTTCTGTAATCTTGCACCTAACTGCAATGCTATTACATCGTTCATTTAGAACAATAATTTAGCGTTACAAAAAAGTTGATGCTGATAAGATGAACTCTTACAGTACTCTTCTGAATTGCTACAGATCTTATAGAAGTGGTTATTATCCGCATACCACTGTAAGCCTACTAACGGATATTATTATGGCTACACCTTGGTTTCGGGGAAACGGCTATTGAGGCGGGAAAGAGAAAAAATTTAAAATGTTCTCAAAATACTGGAATTTATGTATTCCTTAACCGGTTAAAGTGTAGAGTTTAACTTACCCTTTTGGCATCATCTCATTGATTGGCTAGGGGCATTTTGAGATGAATGTTTAGAAGACTGGCTACTACTATTCTCAAACGTCGGTTCTTCGCGAAAAGAACGATTGATCGAAACATTTTTAATGGTATTTTCTCTTCTGATTGTAATTTTTTGTTTTATACGGTTATTTTTGATATGGTAGTAAGAGAATTTTCTTTTGAATGAGGGTACTAATTTCCATTTCCTTCCCTGTCTGTTTCGGAGTGCTCTGTGTTCAATTCCAAGAAACCTGTAATTACCGATTCTTCCTCAAGATACAATTAAAGATCTACCACTTAAAAAAAAAGTGAAATATCTCAAACCTTAATTAACATAGTGCATTATAATAAAAGAATTAGCCCCCCTTTAGAAATTAGCTTGAGAAAGATTTTATCCATAGAATTTGTGGTAAAAAGGGAGGTTTTGGACATTATTGTAGACGCGTACATTCGAACATAAAGAAATCTTAAGAGTTAATATTTCTACTTTAAAGTTAACTCCTTTTCAGCAAAGCGAATGCAACTAATGATGGTTTTTTTCAAGAGTTATATATGTCCAACTTTCTTTTCCTTAGTTAATAAATCATATTTAAAACTTCCCTTTAGGTCTATGACTAAAATCGTTAATAGACGATTTGAACTCACTAATGAAGAATTTTACAAATGTTTAGAGATCATTTTTAAAAGGTCATACACCAACCTTTTAAAACTGTTCCAGGAAATAAAAATTTTAAAGGTATTTATCTAATTCAGTTGTATACACAAAAAGAGCTACTATCTATGAAGAAAGAGAAAAATTGTATAAAGTAGTCAAGATGCTTGAGGTGCGGCCTAAAAAACTAGTTCAAGCTAAATGGGATTTTGAAGAAATGGTGCGTTTGATGCTTGATCTCTAAGCATAAAGGAAAATTTAATGTATTTCAAGCTACTGCCAATGATTTTAGCTACAACTATTTTTTTTTGCCGATCCAATATCAGTTTAAAAGCTGCTGGCAAGAGATAGAAGCTACTAGTTGTCGAAAAAATAAATTATTGGATCGCATTAAAGTTTTTGACCCTAATGGATTCTTATTGATGCCAGAAAAACGTATATAAATAAATTTTGTTTGGCTCTTGATGGTAATGCCCTCACGCATATCTTGAGCTTGTAAAGATTGATTTACAGCTCCAGCAGAGGTAACGAACAGAAGTTTGCCGAAACATTTCACTCAAATAAATATGCGTAATGGATTTACCTCAATCTAGCAGCAGCTGGAAAGGAATGAATTTACCCCATGATGCCTTGAGGAAACATGCCAATGAGGTGAGCCAACCCTATGTCTTATGTGGCGCGACTGGACCAAGACCAAAGGTCTGCAAGATTGCGTCAGATGAGGAACCTTTATATATTTGAGAATTATTAATATGCTGATAAACCTGTTGATGTTAAAAGTCCGATATCTGAGGCTTAAGGTATCCCCAATGTTGCAGTGCCGCTTGTAGGAAGTGGACGACCCCCCTTCAGATTTTGTTGATATCTCAATGGAAAGGGTTGATAACATTACCGTGGATAAACAAATTGAAACGGTTTAACACGGCACAGAAGGTTATGAGGACATATAAAGTAGATTATTGTAAGTTTTTGGGAATAAATTTTGATATGGGTCCTATTGGCAATCTATTTAGGCTACATAAAAAATAGAGAAGAAATACAAAAGTTCTGATTCTTTTACTTTAGGAAATTTTTAAATTTATTTTTTGTTTCCCGTCGCAAGCCCCCTGTAGATTCGTACGAGAAGTTTTAAGATTTTTAGTGGATTTTGACCTTTTAAAGAGAGTTCTTGATAACATATTAAAAAGTAATATTTTGTGGGAGATCCATAAATCTTTTAAATTTTTTTTTTTTCATGTTGATAACTTTGTTTATTTTTGGTCTGATTAAAGTTGAACTATGTTTTAGGGCCCATTCGTTTACATTTTTTACTTAAATAAATGTGATTTCTACCTTTTATTTATTACAATCTATGTTATCAGATATATATTTCATGTATACTTCAAACTATAAAACTTTTAGGTAGATTTTGCAACTAAGGGAACCGTTTTACATACTTTTGTTTGTATATCTATTAGTAGTAGTACAAATAATTTACTTATTGACTACATTACATTTTTTTTAATTACTTTTCTTTTTAGCACTTCAAGTGTACGTGCTATTTAGTATCTTTATTCTTTGCCATTATTATACTACCGTCAAGGCTTATATTTATCTGTTTTACAAGATCTTTTAGAGCTATATGGTTTGTCGTACAAGGCCCATATTTCGCAGGTGTACTAAAAGCAAAAACAACTGACGTTACCTTTCAAATTTTTAATAATTGTTAAAATTTAGTATTGTTTACGTATTTATGATTCTAAAAAATGTTGTTTTTTAAAACATCTAACTTATAAGCTCAAATTATTTAGTAAAACAAAATATTTTTTTGAATGGACTTAAGCTGAACCTTCGAGGAGGTCAATTACAACTATATGTATTAGTGCAGCTTACAATATACAATTGTTTCGTAAAGTGTTATATACACCTGAAGTACTAAGAAGTTGAAGTTCCCTTTCAAACCAAAAAAGTTCACTGAGGTTACAGTAATGATATAAGATTAAATAATTTACCTAATGCTAAATTAAACTATAAAAAAATTATAAAAAAAAGATATAAAAAACTAAATTTTTTATATATAAAAATAAGATACATAACAGAAGTTCAGCTTTTTATTTTTAATATTAGCTTTATTGGGTAACATTGATGTTTATATTACTTTCAGTAGAATTGTAAAAATAATTTAAAATCTTATAGTATATGAATAGATTTATAGACTTTCGCTAACTATAAAATATTTTATTGATAATGAGACCTGCCTCAATAACTTTATTTGCAGAGGTGGACTAACAAGCCACGGAATGTGTTCGTGAGGACATTTTTTGTAAAACGTTCAAACCCTCAAATAATATCCTACCAGAGCCAACCCGAACCAAGGGAGACCAGGAAAAAACCCCTGTTATTTAGTAAAATAGAAAAAATAAGCTGCTTTCAAAGAGCATCGAATTCGCAATAAAATAAGTATGCACTGTAAAATTTTGTTTGACCTCTTTCATAACTTCACACCTTTTAAAAGTAGGGTTGCAAATAAACGTTCCTTTGAACTTTTAATAAAAATAATTTCCCCAAGTAGTATGCGATATTAGGTTTTGTTAAATGCTATATTGGGAAATTATTTGAATAATTATTCAATTATATTCAACCGAATTGTACTAAGTAAATTCGTATAAGCAATGGGGACATTTAATAAATAATTTAAGAAATCTATAAATTCGTGGGTAACCAAAAGTAACTTTTTACCGTAAAAGAAAGTTTTAAACTTTTAACTTAAATTCATGTTTAGCTTAAACTAAAAACACCACACAACCTCTAATAGGTTAAAGCTGTGGCTATCTAAGTAATTAATGTGGGCTAATCATAAGTTAGTAATATTTTAAAAAATGGTATAAAAGCATACGTAATACTTTTCATGGAAGATTATAATTGTTTTACCTTATTACATATTGTTCGCAACCATGTTATCTTGGTTGATTCCACGCTATTTCGCACTTTTTTTCTCAGGGGTCGCCCATTTACACTGTCAAGAAACGATCGTCAACGCCGGCAATTGGTAAGTACACTTTGAGTGCTTTACACAAATTATTTGAAGGTAGGCTATTGTTTTGTTGCGTGATAATTAAGGCTCAAAATAATTTAAAATAATTTGTTGGTAAATTTTTTTAAATTTATAAAGCTTTTTCCAACAAAGCGGATGAGATTAAACACTATTAATTGCAAAGAAATTGACCCATTTCTACATAAAGAGACCCTATTTTACAAATATTTATGTAATTTTTTAACTATGTCGGATATTGAAAAGGGACCGTTCAAGGCGACTTAACGACTTTTTCAAGCGAGGAAGCGCCCGTTCATGTGACAAGTGTGTAAGTTACTATTTGACATAAACGTTATTTTAATTTTGTCCAGGCTGCGGTGGGGCTCTTGATAGTAGTTGTAGAGTTTTTTAACTGTAGCTTAAAATTAATAATAACTTAGAAATTGATATTTTAAATATATTGGGTCAGTTGTTTCTTTGGTTTTTCAAGTTGGAGAGCTTTACATCATTGCAATTTTCTGTGAATATATGAGTTTTGATAAAGTTATACTAATATACATTGTAATCTAATTCCTAATAAATTTTTTAAAAGGAATTTAAATGAAAACAAACTAACTATCATCAAAAAAGAATACTTCCAAAGTCTCAAGATTTTGACTAATTTGTAAGTAAACAATTGTCCAATCTCTACAAAACCAATTAACAACAAGTGAAAGTATAGTTTTAGTAAGATAAATTGGTAACAGTAAAATTACTTACCTTACCTTAGAAATGCTTTCTGTATCCACATTAACTTATTACTTTTTTTAATTCAGGAAACTTAGCAATAATCTCATACTTTCAATAGAGGATGGTTCCTTTGCCGAATTAAGCGCACTGACAAAATTGTTGACCTTTATAACTAAATTTATTTTCTAATTTTATGACTGGCGGCTTTGTGTTGTAAAATAAAAGAGAATTAGATCATAATCGACTCGCTTCTATTGGAAATGCAATGTTCTCGTCCCTGAAAAACCTAAATTATCTGTAAGTTTGGTTAAAACTCTAAAAAACAAGTGGCAAGATAGATAACAAAAGGAATCCACTCCTTGTAAAAAACTTGTTCACTAATAATTAGATTCACTGGTAAGTCGAGAACTGTCAAAACCGTACTAAACCATTTAACCACAAATAAAAGTATACTTTTAATGAAAAGTGTAATAGTATCCAATTACCTTTTCTCTTTGCCTTATGAATGATTTACCGATATTCACATTCACTTATTACACTTTTTAATTCAGGGGTCTTAGCAATAATCGCATCTCATCAATAGAGGGTGGTTCCTTTGCCGAACTAAGCGCACTGACAAACTTGTTGATCTTTATGACTAAATTTATTACCTAATTTTATGACTGATTGCTTTTGTCTCGTATTATAAAAGATTATTACACCTTTTAATTCAGGTTTTTAGGCTTCAATGACATATCAACATTAGACAGTGGTTCCTTTTCAGGACTAAGCGCTTTGATGTTTTTGTAAATACGCTTTTCTATAAAATTTATTACCTAATTTTATTACTGATTGCTTTGTGTTGTAAAATAAAAGAGGATTAGATGGTAATCGACTCACTTCTATTGGAAATGCATTGTTCTCGTCCCTGAAAAACCTAAATTATCTGTAAGTTTGGTTAAACTCTAGAAAACTAGTGGTAGAATGGATAACAAAAGGAATTTATTTCTTGTAATAAACTTTTTCACTAATATTTGGATTCATTTGTAAGTCGAAAACTTTTAAAATTGTACTAAACCACAAATAAAAGTTTACTTTTAGTGAAAAGTATAAAAGTATCTACTTACCTTTCTTTTTGCTTTTTGAATGATTTACCGATATTCACATTAACTTATTACACTTTTTAATTCAGGGGTCTTAACTATAATCGCATCTCATCAATAGAGGGTGGTTCCTTTGCCGAACTAAGCGCACTGACAAACTTGTTGATCTTTATGACTAAATTTATTTTCTAATTTTATTACTGGCTGCTTTGTGTTGTAAAATAAAAGAGAATTAGATGATAATCGACTCACTTCTATTGGAAATGCAATGTTTTCGTCCCTGAAAAACCTAAATTATCTGTAAGTTTGGTTAAACTCTAGAAAACTAGTGGTAGAATGGATAACAAAAGGAATTTATTTCTTGTAATAAACTTTTTCACTAATATTTGGATTCATTTGTAAGTCGAAAACTTTTAAAATTGTACTAAACCACAAATAAAAGTGTACTTTTAGTGAAAAGTATAAAAGTATCTACTTACCTTTCTTTTTGCTTTTTGAATGATTTACCGATATTCACATTAACTTATTACACTTTTTAATTCAGGGGTCTTCACAATAATCTCATCTCATCAATAGAGGGTGGTTCCTTTGCCGAACTAAGCGCACTGACATACTTGTTGATCTTTATGACTAAATTTATTACCTAATTTTATAACTGATTGCTTTTGTCTCGTATTATAAAAGATTATTACACCTTTTAATTCAGGTTTTTAGGCTTCAATGTCATATCAACATTAGACAGTCGTTCCTTTTTAGGACTAAGCGCTTTGAGATATTTGTAAATACGCTTTTCTATAAAATTTATCTTATAATTTTAGTCGAATTTCTTTTGTCTTCTACAAATAAAAGAGATTTATATTATAATCAACTCACTTCTGTGGGAAATGCATTGTTTTCGTCCCTGAAAAACCTAAATTATCTGTAACTTTGGTTAAAACTCTAAAAAACTAGTGGTAGAATGGATAACAAAAGGAATTTATTTCGTGTAAAAAACTTTTTCACTAATATTTGGATTCATTTGTAAGTCGAAAACTTTTAAAATTGTACTAAACCACAAATAAAAGTTTACTTTTAGTGAAAAGTATAAAAGTATCTACTTACCTTTCTTTTTGCTTTTTGAATGATTTACCGATATTCACATTAACTTATTACACTTTTTAATTCAGGGGTCTTAACTATAATCGCATCTCATCAATAGAGGGTGGTTCCTTTGCCGAACTAAGCGCACTGACAGACTTGTTGACCTTTATGACTAAATTTATTACCTAATTTTATTACTGATTGCTTTGTGTTGTAAAATAAAAGAGGATTAGATGGTAATCGACTCACTTCTATTGGAAATGCAATGTTTTCGTCCCTGAAAAACCTAAATTATCTGTAAGTTTGGTTAAACTCTAGAAAACTAGTGGTAGAATGGATAACAAAAGGAATTTATTTCTTGTAATAAACTTTTTCACTAATATTTGGATTCATTTGTAAGTCGAAAACTTTTAAAATTGTACTAAACCACAAATAAAAGTTTACTTTTAGTGAAAAGTATAAAAGTATCTACTTACCTTTCTTTTTGCTTTTTGAATGATTTACCGATATTCACATTAACTTATTACACTTTTTAATTCAGGAGTCTTAACTATAATCGCATCTCATCAATAGAGGGTGGTTCCTTTGCCGAACTAAGCGCACTGACAGACTTGTTGACCTTTATGACTAAATTTATTACCTAATTTTATTACTGATTGCTTTGTGTTGTAAAATAAAAGAGGATTAGATGGTAATCGACTCACTTCTATTGGAAATGCAATGTTTTCGTCCCTGAAAAACCTAAATTATCTGTAAGTTTGGTTAAACTCTAGAAAACTAGTGGTAGAATGGATAACAAAAGGAATTTATTTCTTGTAATAAACTTTTTCACTAATATTTGGATTCATTTGTAAGTCGAAAACTTTTAAAATTGTACTAAACCACAAATAAAAGTTTACTTTTAGTGAAAAGTATAAAAGTATCTACTTACCTTTCTTTTTGCTTTTTGAATGATTTACCGATATTCACATTAACTTATTACACTTTTTAATTCAGGAGTCTTAACTATAATCGCATCTCATCAATAGAGGGTGGTTCCTTTGCCGAACTAAGCGCACTGACAGACTTGTTGACCTTTATGACTAAATTTATTACCTAATTTTATTACTGATTGCTTTGTGTTGTAAAATAAAAGAGGATTAGATGGTAATCGACTCACTTCTATTGGAAATGCATTGTTCTCGTCCCTGAAAAACCTAAATTATCTGTAAGTTTGGTTAAACTCTAGAAAACTAGTGGTAGAATGGATAACAAAAGGAATTTATTTCTTGTAATAAACTTTTTCACTAATATTTGGATTCATTTGTAAGTCGAAAACTTTTAAAATTGTACTAAACCACAAATAAAAGTGTACTTTTAGTGAAAAGTATAAAAGTATCTACTTACCTTTCTTTTTGCTTTTTGAATGATTTACCGATATTCACATTAACTTATTACACTTTTTAATTCAGGGGTCTTAACTATAATCGCATCTCATCAATAGAGGGTGGTTCCTTTGCCGAACTAAGCGCACTGACAAAATTGTTGACTTTTATGACTAAATTTATTACCTGATTTTATTACTGATTGCTTTGTGTTGTAAAAAATAAAAGAAGATTAGATGATAATCGACTCACTTCTATTGGAAATGCAATGTTTTCGTCCCTGAAAAACCTAATTTATCTGTAAGTTTGGTTAAAACCCCTAAAAACTAGTGGTAGAATGGATAACAAAAGGAATTTATTTCTTCTAAAAACTTTAGTTTACTAATAATTGGATTCATTTGTAAGTCGAGAACTGTCAAAACCGTACTCAACCATTTAACCACAAATAAAAGTATACTTTTAGTGAAAAGTGTAAAAGTATCTATTTACCTTTTCTCTTTGCTTTATGAATGATTTACCGATATCCACTTTCACTTATTACACTTTTTAATTCAGGGGTCTTAGAAATAATCACATCTCATCAATAGAGGATGGTTCCTTTTCTTACCTAAGCGCATTGACAGAATTGTTAACCTTTATAACTAATTTTTTTTTTTATTTGTTGACCGATAGCCCTTGTGTTGTGCAAAATTCGTTGTTTTTTATTATTTTCTTTCCTATCTCTAATTATAATCTATTATCTCTAAGATCAATCACTCTTGATGAAAATTTTCTATGCTGCTCTCGTCTTTATTATGAGAATTTAAATTATAAAAGTGAACGTTGCACTTATGAGGGGGAAATCAAAGAATACAACACTTTTGAGAAAAACAAATGTGTTGCTTTGAAGCCTACGAGTTCTACTGCTCAAAGCACTCAAGCCACTAAGCCTATAATTTCACCTCCTCTTTTACTAACCAGGGCAGCGGCAGCATATAGAATTTCTAATTGTTATGTATTGCTAGCGCTAAGCTTAGTCCTTGCCTGGTTTTCTTAAGCATACATAATAAATTAGGTATTTACACAAAGACGTTTTTTGCCTAGTTTTTTTGTTCCCTTAAGTCTTATAAAACTCAGTGTTTCTCAGGATATATAAATTTGCGAATGATGACTACGAACTTCGGTATAAAAGAAAGAGAGCCCGTTTTATTGTCCCTTAATGAAAGGTAGTCTTCATTATTTTTAAAGGCTTTGGCGGGTAGCCAGTAACTTAAGAACAGACTATTGAAAAAAGAATAACTTGACGCTAACATCGAATTTGCACTATGGAAACAAAAATAAATAACCTATCATAGATTCTTATAATTAAAGTTTAAGTTACAATCTCCAAAAATTGTCTACTAAAATATTATTATGTATTAATCATAATAGTTAAAATTTTGAACTGCATTTTTTACTTAGTTTATAAATATTACAAATATTAATTCCTATATTATTAACTCCAACTTTGGGACAAAAATTAATTTAAAAAGTGAAATTAAAAATGGGTAATCATTTATCTAAATGTAAAGAACTGTTAGGTAAACAGTTAAAAAACCAAGAAAAAAATTGCAGAGTTGGGTCTCTTTTGCCTTATTGAATTTTCATCTTATTCTTGTCCTCGTAAATGATGCATGTCATTTCCAACACATTTTTTGTGATATATCTAAATTGCTTAATCTTTTAAGAGAAGAGCACAAGCTATGCTGATTATTGGTGGTGATAGGTCCCAAGCTCAAAACGACGCGCAGAGTTATCTTAATTTTATAAAGCTTTTTACTTTATTGAGGTAGTTCATTGGTCCAAATATAATACAGATATGAAGTAAAAAGGAAAAAGAGGTAGCGCCATTGAAAATGCCATGCAACAGGCATAAATAATTAATTTTATCAGGATTTCTTTTAAAATGGATAGTTTAGGTTTTAGAAAATGTGGACACATTTTTGTGTTAACAATAACCCTGCAGGCTGTCAGTATAAATTTTAATAGTAAAAAAGAAATTCTGTATAAAGTTAAAAAATAAAAAAACAAGACACAAATTGTCAACTATATGATTTTCTTGCAGCATACAATTTAGTTGACACCTAATTTAGTTGATACATTTTAATTAATCTCATGTGTTTAATCTATTAATTTTTTGTATATATATTATATTTTACGATTAATAAAGTAGAGGCGATACGTATGCCAGTTCTGCAAAGTGTTAAGGCAGTGGAATTTCCCTAGGTATAGCCGATCAGGTACTCGTTTCTGTAATCGCTGTCTACAAACCCCCTTGGAAGCTACTCCCGCCCTCCGATTTGGACACCATCCTTGGGATTACCTCTTCTGCTGTTTAGTGCGGGGGTCTTAATCGCCAAATCTGCATGGAACAGCCCAGCCGATAACTCGAATAGGCACACCCTTGAGGCCCACGCTATTGAGCACGCTGTGCGTGCTAGGTCCCCAGCAACCAACACACTTGGCGACTACAGGAGCAACGGACGTACAGGATATTGCCTTACTTAAAGATATTCGTCTCTCTACGGGAATTGAAGCGCTCCACGAGCTGTCCTCCAATCACTTCCCAGTTATTCTCGGTTTAGGGGACGAGAAGGGCACATCAAAAACCAGTACCTGTATTTTATAGCGACTGGGGCAAATATGCTGAGGTACCAGAAATCACGCTGCCGCTGTGCAGTCATTACCGGTACGCCCGCCCTGCTGGAAAATGCGTTTGTCCTTTTCGAAACCGCACTAAACATGGCTCACACTATTGCCACGACAGCTCATGAAGAAAGGTACCGCCCTGATCACCTGCTTGACGTGCTAAAGATACTTATCTGCCAACCTTGACGTCTTATTCGAGTAGCCATGTTGTCGCAGAGCGCCCTCAAGCCTGCACTTAATCGACTTCACAGGTACATTACAAAAAAGCTAATGGTCCATTTTAACGATAAATGGAGAGCAAACCTGCGTCGTATTTTAGAATCAGGCAGCAGCAGCCGTTCCTCCTTTTGGAAATTTGTTAAAAGGTTAAAAATCGGGGGCTTGCACCACTACCGCCCCTTCGAGAAGAAATATAGTGGCCGCGATTGATGGAGATAAAGCTACGCTTTTTGCCAATGTTCTTGCTATTTAAAACGTGCCAGCTGCTCACTCTACTGCTAATGATGATTAGTTCCTTTCTCTCCGCCGAGCTTACCTCCCCCTTTAATTAGGAACTACTTAATCTAGTTAATGTTAACGAGGTGCAAGGAATTGTCGAAGCGCTACCTAAACGAAAAGAGCTTTGCCCCGATGATATCACTAATGAGATACAGAAGAAATACCATTAATAGGATGACCTTCCTTTACCTTCTTGTAAAATCTTCGACATTCTCCTTGGTGCCTTTCCGATTCGATGGAAGACGGCGATCGTTGTGAGGCTACCAAAAACAATTATACCAGAATCAGCAAGTACAGACCCGTCAGCTTAATGTCAGCGGTCGGCAAAGTGGATGAGGCCGTTTTACTGCGCATTCTTAAAGAGTTCGTTGACACTTGGAAAGCTTTACCAGGGTTTCATTTTGGAATTCGGCAAGGGCACTCAACGAACCAGCAGCTCCTCCGCTTGAATGACTGGACCACTCGCGCTTTTAACCATAGGAAGGCAACAGGCGCTTTCTTTCTTGATGTTAGAGAAGGGAATTGATCATGTTTGGTATAAGGTCTTCTGCGCAAATTGCGCTCGTTATCCGTCACTCATGGCCTTCGTAAGGTGCTGAAATCATATCTGAATGTTCGCGTCTTCAGCTTGCGCGTGGTAGATACCGGGTTTCCGCTTCGATCTCTGGAAGCAGAGGTCCCTCAGGGGTCACTTCTCCCTCCTCTTTTATTATGCAATTGCGTCTTGGTTTGTGCGAAATGATGCTCTTCACCGGGACCTTCAGCTGGGTCCCTAAAACATTGTCTTCCAACTTAATGCCATGCCGTAGTCCTTTACGAGCCTCAGGACGAGGCACATTCCAGTAAGCACTAGTTAGTGCATGTTATTGTCTAGAAAATAATGACACTTTATCGATCGAAAGCTATTTTGTAACATGTCTGCGATCACTCCTGGTTTGAGAGCTCGAGTATTCGAAGTTTTTGGACTCCATCGAGCCCCAGGCGCTAAAACATCAACAGAAGAAGTAGCTACTACGACGAAACACGGGGGTTATTAAAGACAGTACAGCGAGTTTCCATATAAAAATGTGTTAAGCAGTATATATTGCAGAACATTTATAAAGGTCTATTTAAGTATTAGGCAATTGCGATACGAAATTATAAAGTTCAGTTACCTAAAGTTTATTATACTAATATCTAGGTACGTTAATAAGCAGAAAATAATTTAAATTGAGATGGCGGATTTTAATTTGCTGTAGATTAGTGTCTTAAATAACATATATAATAACAAGCTCTTAAACATTTCTAAAGATGGGTGAAATGTCGGCATATCAAAAAAGAGCATAAAAATTGAATAAATAATAAGAGGGAAATTGGTACGGTACACTAAAATAATTTTAATTTATACATTGCAGTAGGGCGCAATGAAATAGTCTTATAAATATAGAAGTTAAAAGTCAAGATTAAGCTAGGGGTGATAACCTAAACTATTTTTATAAAGTGCTTAAGGAAATAAAATAATTACGATGAAATGAGCTATTTAATAACGATTAGTTAATTGAAAAACAGAAAGAAACACCACTTTTGGATAGGTGGCATCCACTTTTTGACGTTTTTGACGTTTATAAAAAAAAAATACAACTTCAACTTCTAGGCGCAATCACTATATGCAAAGATAGGAAAGTATAGGGAGTCACAAATTTTTTATAACATAGAAGGTTGGTTTAAAGAGTTCATTTAGATTACTATAGTCCCAGCGAGAAAGAGGACACAGAAAATAATGTTTTATTATGAAGGGGCCTTATAAACATAATCCCAAAAGTTTTCAAAAGATGGTAACAACTTTACTTTTTAAGGCATATATCCCTCTATCAACAGTTGAAGATTGTATCCAAATAATGGGTACCGCTAATTCTGGTCTAAAAAAGGATTTTGGGTAGTTTGTATGTCGTATATTACGAGCACTTGGGATTTGGAAATAAAAAAAAATCTTAAAATAGGAGCCGTATTGCAACTTAAGTAGTAAGCAAAGGGCATAATAACCAATATATTCGAAATTTAATTTGTAGAGACAGGCAAAATAGAAATTGTCGTAAAGTATACTTTCTTATTAGCTCGCCAACCTCATAGCTCCTAACAACTTTATAACTTATTAAAACAGAGGAGTAGGTTAATTTCAGAAACTACGTTCTTAAAAACAAAATATTTGAGGACGATAATAAACATTGTTTAAGTATTGGGCAACATATTGCTCCTTGAACATCCTACAAATGTCACTGGAGTGATAAGCTGAGATTGAAATATCTATTTTAAATTTAAGGTGCGAAGTAAAGAAATAAGGTCGTAATTTATAACTAAAGTCGACTGTTAGCAATGCTAGTAAGATAGGTGGTGTATTACGTAGTATACACTAGGCAAAGAGAAAAACCAGCAAATGTTACGGGATAATAATAATTCTTTAGTTGCTTTAGCCATGTGCTTGTTACCATCTTTAAAAGTACATCATTTTACTCCAATTTGAAACGAACAAGTGAGGAAAAAGACAATTTATACGAAAGCTTTAACGTTCTTGTAGGTTAACTTGAACCACCCCTCTTCCCATTAATTTTTTTTTAATTAACTTTTGCTACCCGATTTATGTAGAGTGTTTAGTGGGAAGTTAACACATCTTGGATTTTCCCAGGATGCTGGAAAGTGGACGCCTCCTATGGGGTAAGATATGGCTTATCAAGGGGCCGAGTCTTAACATTTTGAACTACAAGTTAGGGTGTTGCTTGGTGTGTTTGCCCCCATAAGGAAACGTCACACTGCAAAAGCAGAATGAATTCTCCTGTAATCAGTTAAACTTCTTAAGCTCAAACTTTTCTATTTTTTTTAAATAAGGAATTTTAAATATGTTTGCCTTTTGCGATGAAAAATTGTTAATTGTTTATTTAATTTGTAGTTCCCTTTAAGGTTATTTACATTTACAAAAAGTTCCTTCGCGTTACCTTAAACGTGGAAACTCGTCTTTGCTAGACTTTGAACATATAATGAAAAATTAAGTTCAATATTTTGCAAGCTTATATATGTATTTTGTAATTTTTATAATCAAAACAACTAAGTTATTTAAAAAAATTAAAAAGGAGTTTTTATTTAGCAAAAAAATTCAAAAAAAAAAGAGAGCTTGATGCGCTAAAAATACATTTCATAAGAGCTAATCAATACGGAAAATAAGGACGTGGGATTAAAAGTATTGTATATATATATTTCATTGTTCTTCAAAAGGCACGTCGATAATTTTTTTTTTCCTTTAACTTGGTGATTTCGATAAGCATCGAGTACTTCATAGCATTTCAGCCCAGCTTTTTTCCCAGACCTTCAGCAGCCTTATAATAAAAAGAATACTAGTCTAGAAATAACCCTATAAGGAAAAGGAGGATTGTATGAGGTCGTAAAAACCTTCATAATCCCGCCAGTAGCGAGGACGTCTGTCATCACAATGTTATCTCCAGGCTGATGCTTCCAGCGGTTGATTTCAAGTTTGTCGCTATCATACTCCTTCTTGTACTCTACGCTTACAGTTTGGTCGGGTAACTTATCGTCTTTTCTTCAGGAGCAAGGAAAGATGCAGTAAAAGGGAAAAAATTTAGTAATGGTTCAGCCCCGCTATTATAGCAAACAAAATTTGAACCGGGCAGGAAAGAAGCGCAGTCCAAGTTAAGTGCAGGAGTAGGCCCAATAAAAGACCGCGTGCTTCTAGCTAACAATGGTGTACACCTTATTAATAGGATACTATAAACAAGCTCTTAATTACCAAGTTCAAGTAATTTAGTTAACTTTAAGTATAAAGAATAAAAGTTGATAACTCCTTTAACAAAGGAAATATGCACCATTTAAATTAAGTCTATTTAAAGTTCACTCAACAAAACTATAATATATTTTGTTAATTAAAAAAAAAAAGGAATAAAATAAAGAAAGGAAGTTACACTTTCTAAAGTTACTCTAACTAAAGAATAAAGTTACATAAACGAAAACCATGTATAGTAAATAATAAAATTTTTAGTGTTTTTTAACTTTTTTTCCCTCTTCAAAAAAACCCCCTACTTAATATTATTCAAATAATGTCAGAAACCCTAAAAAGTCATAGTAAACTAACATCAAATAAATAATTCCATATGTATAATTTCACTACTCTCAAACAGCAAATATCAATTATAAGTAAATTAGAGATAATAATTAATATAGTAATAATACATAAAACATAACCCAGTCCATGGCAATATAACTATTTAAAGTACAATTGTTTGAAGTAAAACTAGATAAAGTTGAAAAAATATAGCTTACTAAGGCTCGACCGGAAGTAGATTCCGATAACCACCTGAGTATACTAAGTGGCGCACTATGCCCTGTATAATCTGCTTCTACTTCGAAACAAATCTAAAGTTCAGTTTAAGGAATTTTGGTTAAATTGATACATTTAATTGTTTGTTTAAATTTGTGATTATTCTAATAGTAGACTTCCATAAACAAGTTTAATAAAAGTACTCTAAAAGTTTTTAACATGTTTGGGATTTATAATTTTAAAAATACTACAAGGCAACGCTGATTTTTAAATGTTTTTCCACTTTTTGTAAAAAATTTACTTATTTGTTCTAAAACTTTTAATCTCATCTTTATGGGAAGTAAGAAGACATAGTACCTTTTTTATTATAAAATGAATGTATTAAAGATTAATAAAGTTTTTTCTAACAATTCAAAATTAATTTAAAACAATGTTAAATATACTAAAATAAAAACAGTTATGAGTGGCTTGCACGAATTTAACTTATTTTTAAAAAGCATTTTTTGCATAGATTATAAACAAAAAATATTTATTTCAACTTGTATTTAACAGTTCATATTTATTAACAGATAAAAGCTATTTTTAAAACTAACTTTTTTAAAACTTAGGCCTTATAATACTCAAATCATCAGATTAATTTACATGGATTTAAGATATTAGCTTTTAAAAAACTGTTACTTTGCTAGGCATGTATAGGCAACAAACCCTCGAGGGTATGCAACCGTGGATAAAGCCCTCCTTTCCAACTATATCTTGGAGAAGATTGAAATTACTTAATGGATAGCCAAAAGCATGCTTTCTTAAACTGATATTCTTTTAAAATTTTACACGCGGCAATAAGATTAGACTTTTTTGTCTTTAATTTTTTGTTTAGACCCTTAAGTAATATCTGATATTCTACCTGCTTATCATTATTAGGTATTTCGAAAGGATTTAGACCTTGAGCTTTGTTTTATTTTACCCAATCATCCAGGGAGGTTAATACTCTGTTTAACTATAAATGACCACACGTAACACTTACAATTACGTTCATTTTCTTATTTTCCGTCTTGTGATATGAGGTTTATTTAAAATGCACTAACACATTTATTTCTAGGTTTTCCTAAATTTTCTCCATTAGCGCTGAAATCCACCCCATACGTTTTTTGGTATAATCTCCGGGACGTTTCAATAATCTCGTACTTAAATAAACTTTTTCGATAAAAGCTGGTCCAATGTTATTATTTTTGAAATAAACTGCCTCCAGTAATTAGTTTTTCTGCTTTCTACTTTACATCAAAAAATGTTACCGTATCATTAGTTAGTTTGCTGTAATCGATATTATGTTGTGATAAATTAGCTGTATTAATTTTTTCTTTATGCTCTTTAACTGCCGGTCTTTTTAATAATAACTCAGAATAATTAACCTGCATTTAAAAAAGCATTAGTGTAGGAGATACTCCTTAACATGTTGGGCACCTTTTTAAAAATTATATTTGCCCAGCACTTCGTCCAATTTTACCTGCTATCCATAACACCTTTTTATTAAAGCCTGTTTATTCCTGGGCAGTATTTTCCGCAATTTCCTTGCTTTAGTGGCTATCAACAGTTATAAGGTAATGTGCTACACGTACATAATTCCTTTTTAAAAAATCCTTTCCAATCCAGTAATTTTTTACTTTAAACCACGTCATGTGCGGAAAGGGGAGTTGGGATTATCTCCACCAGCTTCTGCATCTTGTAAATTAATTCTAATAAATCTAGAGCTTCGAAAGTAGGTATCTTTTTTAATTTCTCTTGCCCACACATACCATGAATATCTATCTACTATTACTTGAGCCCAATCATACCCTACTTTAGTATTTGGTAATTTTTTACAATCCACTGACAGGCTGTAAAATAGTTCGTTGAGTCTACTATTATATGTTTAGGCTCCTTTTAAACATTAAATTTTTAGCAAATTTTGGACAAGTGACACAGCCATTAACCACCACGTCTATTATAGCCCCTTTTCTCTGCTTTCTTTAATGATCTCTCTCAGTTTCGTCCTTCCTGAATGAAATAATTTGGTATGCACTTCACATATTAATTCTTTATAAAAATTTACGCACGATATTTTTGCCACTTTAAACACCTCAATTTGTTTATCTGCGCTCACCATTTTTCTTTTTAATGTCGGCCGTTCCGAATGATGAGCAAGAACCTCTGACGGCAGCTGATCAAACCTTGTCTCAGTAACCCTGTATAACAGCTTGCGTTTTGGATATTTTCTATGGAGCAATAGAAATTATTTGCATATGCATATATACTAATGATGGAATAAAACGCCTCTTCAGCCCCCCCTTTCCCCGCTTAACCGTTTATATTGTCTGAAGCTCACCTGGTTGATTGGTTTGTACAGTTTATTTATATCTTGCAGACTGCGAACCAAGCAGAAATAGTTTACTTATGGGGAGATGAACGTGCTAAATCAAGCCTTAATTTATTATAGATATTTTTATAACTAGACAATTTTACTACCAACAATTGCGAATAATTCACTACTAGGAAATTATACTAATCTAACTCAATAGACCAGACTCTATAACAGTTATTATTAGCTAATATACGGATTTACCAAGAGTAATCGCAGATTAATATGGTTTTTTTAATATATTTTTCACCTGAGAAACAGTAACTAGCACTCAAAGCACTTTACTGAGACTCCGATAACGTGTCCCATGCGTGGCTCGTAATTGAGCCTGCTCGTTAGCAATTTAAGTAACTTATAGAAAAACAAAAAATTACTAAATCAAAAAAATAAAATTGTGGAGAGTTGATCAAATAATTTTAAAAAATTACTTCTTTTTTGTAAAATCTGTAAAATATTATGGATCTAAAGAAATAATCCACTACTGCTCAAACTCAGTTGAAATATATATCTCTTATGAAACACTACAAATAAATGACTTTTACTATCAAGATTTAAGTTTTTGTATTTTTTGTAAGGTATCTAAAAAAATGAAGGATCCTTAAAAAAAATATATAATTTGTGAGTACTTTTTACTTCTTAATTTATTATTAAAGTTAACTTACAAAAGACTAAAGATTGTAATCGTTAAGGCGCCTCTTCGTGTATAAACTTTTTTTAACCAAATAAAAATGGCTGCAACGTGCAGCTAATGAGATAAATATTTTGACTTTAGCTAAAAATAATCATTACACTCAAATTCTTATTACAAAAACTTAAAAATACTTCAGTTTTATTTGAATCATCAAATGGGCTTATCACTGAAAATAAGATGCGAGCCTGCACACGTTGCTTATATAATTTGTATTCTACTTGCTCTTAGTTTAAACTGGCAAAGCTATTGGGAGAGTTAAAGCTTGTCAAATAAATTACCACAGTTTTTAGTCCTTCGACTTTTCTATATTATATTTTTTCATTATCCCCAATATACTATTTTACGAAACTATCAGCTTGTGAAATCAATGCAGGTCTAAATATACAATGGTATGAGCTATGCCTTAAACAACTGACGTGAAAAGAAGCCTCAAAGAGAGATTAATATATTCCAATGGGGTTATTCAAAATTTTTGTTTAGTAGTATTTAATCTTTTTATTGCAGGTTGAATTATTAAAGTGAAGGTTGCAGTATTATTAATAGTGCAGCGATAATATAGATGTCTCAAGGGTAACGCCGATTTTTCTTTTCTTTCTCTTTTCTTTAAATCGATATCCGTTTGTGTGGAATGGGTCTTTTAGTTTACTAAACAGTATATAAAATATAATTTTATCAGGCAATTGTCATTTGATGTTAACTGAGACCCCAACAAGAGCACCAAACTTGTTAAGCAAATTTTTTTATATATTTTTTATAAAACTTGTGTGACACTTGCGTCCCCCCCTCTAAATAGAAGCTAACAATCAAGGAGGCCCTTGGTGTTATTACAGTTTTCCAACACACTAAGTAGTCTAGGTTCGATACATCTCCGGAAATATATACTAATTCGCACCCATTCTTCCACCCCTTTTGAGGAAGAGGGGATAACTTTAAGCATTATAATGACTTCTACAAGGCCTTTTTCAGCATGCAAGTGCTTACAAAATAATTATGTGGCTAGTTTGCTTCGCTTTTCTTTTTACTTGGTTGTAGCTGACGTTAGCTTAGAGGACTACAAAGTCAATATTTTGTTTTAGGTAGTATAATAAAAAGTTTAAACAGTATTTTTCCACAACGCTATAATTATGGTAATGGTAACACCCTAAAAACTGGAAATAAAGTCTCACTGCTTACTAGATATTGATCAAAGTTGCTTTTTAAACATTTATATTGCCTGAAATAATGACTGCGTTAAGTCACCGAGCAACCCCAAAAGTCATTAATTATAATAATAGTTGCACACTCCAATATTCAGCTCGTATTTTCTATAAAAGTTCAAGTTTTGAAATTTATTAATACGTCATTAGTTAATTAATTACATTATTTTTTTTATTATGAGCTTTTATATGATAAAAATGTTTGATTAACCATCAATTACTTTTAATACCAATTATTTGTCTAATTCATAAATTTTTAATAAAATGGTCATTTCCAATCGAAACCTTGTTAACCTTTTATTCATATGTAGTGAAAATGAGTTTAAAAGTTTAATACTATTAAAATTGATATACGCTTTATACACGCCTATAATGTATAGTATGTTGGAAAATAAAAAATTTATAGCTGTTGAGGTCTCGTATCTCAGCGCAGATTACTATGGAGGAAAGTATGAAGGGGATTCTTGAAGGGAGGGAAATAGAGTATGAAACTTAAAATTAAGGCGTATAATTTTATAGCTTTAGCGTAATGAGTTAGCGAATTATTGAAGAAGCCAAGATACAATTTAAAGGGAATTAAGTCAATAGCATTGGTATACTTCAATAAAGTTGAGCCTTTTGATCTTTCCCTCAGCTGCTTCTTAGAGAATTATTTTATTGTTGTAGCAAGAGCTTAAATGACTTGGAAAAAGCAGTGAAATACTAATCTTTGAAGTTAATAGCAAATTTATTGAGAATTTTATGAAGTAATATACACAGATGCTAAACACTTTGATAAATTGCTAGTTTTCGGGTAAGTAGAAGGCCTATTTCATGAGATGGATAAACAAAAGAGAAAGAACTCTTTGCATAGAAAAACTTGGGAAAATCAGTATATTCACTATAAATATATTGAGGGAAACAGCTAAGTTATACAAGTACTCCAGCTCTTAGCTGATAAGTCCCCGCGAGAGCGTTTGTTGAATAAGGCTTGTATAAGGAGTGACTGAAATAGCACTTGCTCAATCTATGAGCCGCTGGTGCCGTTTCGGAATCAAATATGAGCGGTGGTTAGAGAATAGTGCTAATACTACATGTACAATATATGAATAGTATTAGTAACGTTTGCTCGCCTTGCCAAGTGCTAGTTGCTGATATCTTATGATTTGTGTAAAAACACGGTATTAGTACTATAAAAGAGCGCTATTTTTACTAGTATATATATAGATAAAAGCGCGCCGAGCGCTAAGATAAGCTTTTAAAAAACTTTGCCAATTTACAAAACAAAGCATCCAAACTTTGGAAACAGTTAAGCTTTAAAAGATTCAAAAGTTTAGTTTTATAAATAATTGGTAGAAGCAAAATATTTCAATTAAGTTTGGACACCGGAGCGAAAAGTTGTTGATAAACAATGGTGGTTAGGCGTAGAAATAATTATGAGGTGAAAAGATCTTGGAGTGTCAAAGCTAGCTTTAGAATATCGACAACATCAGCTGATAAGTCTAGATTTCCGTGAAAACAGTGGGGCAGTGACTAGGGCATCCTAGAGAAGCAGACACAAAGATTTTTTTTTTTATTTTGAACATACTAGTTATTGTATTTATAATTTGCTGTTTTTTACTTTCTTACTCACCAGCACTCTTATAAAAACTGTGTAACTCTTGACAATGCATTATTGTAAAGCCGGCTTCTAATAAACGCATCAGATCAGATAGAGCTGCAGATGCCAGTACAGCAAGGCGACCCACTACGATATTCAGTATGTGGTTCTAAAAACTAAGAAAATTGACTTATATGGATGGTAAAGCCAAGCGCTTAATTAGATCGATGAAGTGTAAGTTTTGTAAACTATTTCTATATTTGTTGAAGTCCTCACCAAATCATTTGAACCGTCTACACTTGCATTGCTTTGTTTATGAAGACATATAAGGCAGCATTTCTAATCTTACTTATTTCGACTTCGGTTAAGTAGTATATTTATTTTATAATTAAATTTCGCTACATTATATATTCAGTTATATTTATTTTTTATTTAAAGGAGTCCTTTTGAAATTTATTTATGTCTTTTTTACAAAAAGCAAAAATTTTAATGAAAGAAAAGATAAAAGCTAAAATTTTATAAGATTGACGCCGTTATAGAGAAATATGTCTTCATGGTTTACGTAAAAAGAAAAATAAGTTATCTTACGGGGTAATAATGGTTTAAAATGTAGCTTACTGCTTACTAGAGAATGACTGGAATAACGCGAACCACTCGAGCCAATGAATTTATGCGAGGGTGCCAAGCCCTTTTTACCTGTAGAATTTAATGAAAGTGGTGGGCCCAGCTTTACTTACTGACAAGAAGAGGTCCCTTTTAAAATCCAATCTTTGGAAACTCTTGATTTGCTAAATATAACAGAATCTCCCGTTTACGACGAAAAATATTATTTTTATTCGGCGATTTATAAAAGCAATAATGAACATATGACATTACACCCACAACCCAGTGGTTGGTAAACTTGGAAGCCATGAAAACTTTAGCCGAAAATATTGACTTTCATATTATATCCTATCCAGACAACTGTCTGCTAACAATTTTTAAAAAAATATTTCAACTCATTAACGTTTAGTATTGTAATTTTTTTTTATAGTAATATTACCCTTTTTAAAATACTTAAAAAATTCTTTTCGACTTGTTAATTGCCTGTTAATTAAATCGGTTAACCTTTACCTTATTTCGAATTATAATTTTAAATAACTGTTGGTAAATTTTATATGGAAAGTCCCTATTAACTTACAGAAAAGAGCTCATCTCTCTGGGCTAAGTTATTTTTATAAATTTTTAGGAAAGTTAAGAATAACACATATATTTTTTCCAGTTATGATATTTTAATAATAGATTTATCCTTCTTTGCGAGTAGAAAAGAACTAAATTTATATTTTGCAGAGTTAACAAATTAAAATTTAAGCCTATACAATAAAATCTCCGAGCCTAACTTAAAATTTAAAAAATTTTATGAAATCTTTTGAACTAAATTTAAATTTTAAAGTAGCGTTAACTTAATTATTTTTTAATATTACTACTTCTAAAATTATACCAATTAAATTAAATTATACAATGACCATATTTAAAAATTTTAAAAATCCAAGAAAAGTATATATTAATATTTTTTTCCCAATAAAGCACATATAATTATTACTAGTTCTAAAAACTAGTAACCTGAAATATCACTAATATGAGAACTTTTAATACTAATAAATAGTTACTCTATGTTTATTTTACAGTAGAGAAGGTTTCGATTACTGTAAGAGAACTAACAGCAACAAACCCCGTTAACACTTTCGAATGTCAAAAATTAGTATGTTGATGGTTTAGATTTAGTGAGGAACAATTTATCTAGTTTACTAGCCTTTGCTCTTCAGTAAGTCGGGCGGTGCCGCTTATATATATAGTACTAGTACCTAGTAACTAACCTAGTATAGTAAGTACACTATTACCATATAGCAGTGCTAGTACCATATGACACGTATAGCAGCTCAGATATAGCCTAGCAAAAGGTACTAGTATTATACAGAGACTATAACACAGAAGTAACGATCGAGCCGAGTTAACTAAAGCCAAATAGTACCCGAACCTAGTCACTAAAGCTAGTGTCCATACTAGGACACGAGGCAGCCGCCTGCTGCCACCGCGAGCCCTGGAAAGGGCTTAGTTTAGGTAAACTACTCATTGCATTATAACTCGATCGGAACGCTTTCGTTCATGACTATTCGCTACTAAGGAATAGCTACAATGCAACTTAGCTGTTTCAATCAATAAGTTAATAGTAAACCTAAGGATATTCACAGCTCATCCCTTGATTTTCACTAAAGGAGCGTCTCCGGAAGGCAGTTCTAGTACTCAATGCGTAGGGCAAAAAATAAACGAGTTTAGCGTAATATAGCTCCATAAAGTTAACCAAGCATGATAGATAGGTCTGTATAGCGCAGAGGCTAATGATAGTATATACCAAGTCAGTTACAGGTAAGATAAAACCTGCCTCAGAACTTTATCTTTAGACAGCTTTTGTCAGTTTTAAGAGTATATCTTTCGTTACTAATAATTATGAGCTTCTAGTCATTTAGCTAGATGAAATCTGCGA